TCAGAAAATAAGAAAATGTTGTGTCATTTATACACTAATCATGCAGCCTTACTCACTAAAGGCTATTTATCCCCTCACCTGCCTTGCATAACTGCTTTTAAGTCTAATATAATGGTACTTATGAGTCTAGATGGTTGGAAGTTTTAAAACCAGTCGCTTGAAAATAAGGTGGAGGATTAGTTATTATTATGCATGCATAATTTTAACATCACCCACACTTCATATGCACTTTGAAAAGAACACTGTTCAGAGTTTATTTCATATTCAAGCACCTTCACTGAAATTTCAGTTCTGTGAACTTTGTCATGAAAGCAGTGAATTGGAATTTATATTATATCTGGACCGTTTATATTGACACTGTTTTTTCATACGCTTATATTGTTCACCTTTAATCATACACGGTATGTCCAGGATCTGTTAGGACTCATTTTTTAAATTTTGCCCTTCAATGCCATCTGTTGGCGAGTTGTGGCATTAAGAGTCTTGAAGTTTCAGCTGTGGCTGTCTATAATTTCAAAGCGCAAGCATCGCTGCATCATATGTTCTGACTTTGAATGTAACAGTACTGTTCCGACGCTCATCGGAAAATCGCGTTTCAGCAGAGAGCCAACATCAAATTTTGTTTGAAGTTAGACAAAACATCGGGAGAAGCGTACAAAATGATGAAAAGTGTGTACGGTAGTGATTGTTTGAGTCACTCGAACATTTTTCAATGGTATTCTGTATTTCATGACGGCAGTGAGGACATTGAAGACACTCCAAGTGCATCGAAGCTGAGAACAAGTCGCACTGAAGAAAATGTGAAAAGAGTGACCGAAATCCTTGTATCAGACAGCTGTGTTTCTGCAAGACTCATCGAGGAGCTTTTGGGAATACCAAAAAGTATTGTGCATCAAATTTTTACCAAGGATTTGGGCAAACGGAAGGTCTGTGCGCGGTTTGTACCGCATGCGCTATCAGGCAATGAAAAACATGCCAGAGTGGAACACTGCAAAGATGATGTTACGGTCAGCCCAGAGTGATACAAAATTTACAAACTCGATTGTTACTGGTGACGAGACATGGTGTTTTCAATATGAGCCTCTCACAAAGCGTCAGAGTGCAGCGTGGTTGAGCCCAAAGAAGCCGAAACCGAAGAAAGCGCACATGCAAAAGAGTTGAGTAAAGACACTGCTAACTGTTTTCTTCGATTCCAAAGTAATCATTCACAAGGAATTTCTGCCAGAAGGTCAAACAGCGAATTCTGATTATTATCTCGGAGTCCTCAATCGTTCGTGGGCGAGAATTCTTCGAATTCAACCTGAATTCCGAGACCAAGGTTCCTGGTCGCTCCTCCACAACAATGCCCCACTCCACAAATTGAAGATCGTGCGTGATTTTTTGGCCAGAAAAGGGATCACAGTCCTTGATCATCCTTCACATTCACCAGATTTGGCTCCAGCAGATTTGTGGTTGTTCCCAAAAGTTAAGTTGGCGATGAAAGGAGACCGTCATGACACCATCCAGGACATCCAAAGGGAATCTACCGCAGTTTTAAATGCAAT